AGGTGCCAGAATCATCTTGCATTTACACAAGCCTCATCACCCCACCTTTCCCCAATGCTCCTATTCAAAATGCATTTGCATCTTGCAAATCTTCTTTTTGATCTTTGTGTGATCTTTGAGATCTTCTTTCAATTTTGATCCACGTTGTGGGAAAGGAAAACAGAACAAGCTTTTATTTTCCCTACTATGTTTGAAGTAAGTACTTTTAAAACTATTATCTCATTTGCTAAGCTAAATATTATCTTACTGTGTTTAATGTTTTTACATTAATTTACATCACATTACCTTTTATGTTATTTGATTCTCACAACAATCCTGGGAGGTAGGTGCTATCATTGACTCCATTTTACAATTGATAAAACAGAGATGAAGTGACTTGGGCAGGGTCATATAGCTGGTTAGTATTTGAGGGGGGATTGAACTTAGATCTTGCTGACTTCTAGCCCATGGCTCTATCCACCATGCCATCTAGCTGCCCAATACCTAGTAGAGGATTTAAGTGTACTTGTTTGTCCTTTAAAAAGAGTATTATTGTTGGAGTAGCTCATAGGCATACTGAGAGGAATGGAAAATATTTGAGACAATGGACATAATATGTGGCATATAATGCAGGCTTACTAAATGCTTTGTGAGGAATTGACTTGCCCCAGAGCAAGAATAACTTTTATACCAGTTCCATAGCCATGCTTTTATGAACACACAGGAAAGATTTAGAGATGAAACATAAACAAGCAAATACAATAGCTGAAGAACTTAGGACCCCAGAACTTTTTGGTGATTGCTTGGCAAATGTTATTGTCTGGTTATGGCCTGAGAGATTAAGATTTTTGAATGTTCTAGATAGCTATCATAAATTCAGATGAGATCTCTCACCCAGGTCACCCAACATTGTACCAGGAAGAAAGGAATGTAACTTACCAGAGTATCCTTCCATCTCCCACCTTCTGACAGGGATATGACAGGCTTCCAAGTGAAGGCCCCAAGGCAGCAGAATTGGGGAGGTTTCTGTAAATCCTAGGGTTAGGGTCTCTGATCTTTCTGAAAGAGCAAAGTGCACCCCTGGTTGGGATTGATTATAGCTGAGTCAGACTATCACTATGCAATGAGTCCAGCATAAGTGAGTCCAGGAAGGAGAAAGAAAAATTTAAAGAACCAAGGTTATCATTAAAGACAAAGGAAACTGGAGAAGGAAAGATGGCAAGAAGCTTGGTAGAGCTGGAAGAGCAGAAAGGAAGACAGAGAGAGACATCACAAGGAACACAGAGCCCAGGTCACTGGGTTCAAGGATATGTGGGTCAATCAATTGGGAGGAGTATCAGGCCTGAAGCCCTGTTGATGAGACCTGTTAGTTTTCAGAGCCCAAGGCAGTAATTCTGCATCTTTTTTCTCCCCTTGGTCTCCTTCACAAGAGTCTGAAATTCTGTTTTGCTACAGACTTGCTAAAATTTTAAAAATTTTTCTTCATCTTTATAAAAAATAAAACAAAGCTCAAATCACTAGTCTTTGCTAGTCTGGGTGTATTTTTTTCTAACTGGAGTTGAAAAAAGCAATCTAGAATGGAGGCAGAAGTATGTGGAGGAGGCAGAAAGAGAATCAGGGACAGAGAGCAAGAGATAAGCACTGGGGTGCTCTGCCACAATGAAAATATTTCTAGCGGGATGGTTAAAGTTTAAAAAAAACAAACAGAGAGAATCACAGAACAATCTTGTTACAATTTCCAAGAGAAATGAAACAATAATTTTTCGATGAGAGGGGCAAATAGGAGGAGTTAAACAAACCCCACTCATTGTAAGACATCACATATGCATTATAAGACATCATATAAAACATCCATATAAGATGGAATGCATTCTGTCCTTGCTTCAGTTTTCAGTCTTCTTGCTTCTGTGATTCAATCAGAATATAGCTCTACCAAGCAGTCTTCCCTGGTCCCCCCCAGCTGAATATATATGTTTACACACACACACACACACACACACACTTAATTTCCCTCACTTATACCTGGTGCATTTTACTTGATCTTTCTTTGCTCCTTACCTTATACTTAATTATGAAAATATCATACTCCCTTTCCCAAGTGAAATAAGAGCTTGTAGGTAATAGGAATGGTGTCATATTTTTTATCTTCATATATTTCATAATTTTGAAATATGTTATCTAGTTATTCAAAAATGTACAGTTTATATGGGGAGAAATGCCGCTCAATATATCTTTATTAAACACCTGCTATACATTAGGCTTTTTGCTCAGTGCTGGTTACACAAAAATCAAAATGAAATAGTCCTTGTCCTCAAACAGCTTACGTTCTATTCCATGTGAAGCAATATCATCATAAATGAGTAAAAACAAATATTTAAAAACTAAGTGCTGAGTAATATCAGTGTGGGGAAGCACCAATAACTGGGGTTTAGGAGGTGACAGTTGGAGTCTTGAGGCAAGCTAGAGATTCTAAAAGGGAACACGGAAGTTCATTCCAGGAAGGGTAGGCAGCCTTTACAAAGGCTTGGTAGCAGGAGATGGAATGTCATGGAGCAGAGTCAGTCAGTCAGTATGCATTTATTAAGTCCCAACTATGTGCCTGTGCTAAATTTTGGGAATACAAGGGAAAAGAAAAGATAGTCCCTGCTATCTAATGGGTGAAACTACAAGCAAAAAAATTATGTACAATCAACTATAACAGGATAAATTGGAGATGAGAAGGCAATAGCAATAACATTAGAAACAGCAAGTAGTCCAAGTTTGTCTGGAACATAAAGTATATAAAGCAAAGCAATTTGAAATGAGCCTAGAAAGATAGGTTGTATCCATATTATGAAGTACTTTAAATATCAAGCAGAAGAGTTGATGCATTATTCCAGAATTAATAAGGAGCCAGTGAAGCTTCTTGAGCAAGTAAGCATCATGATCAGACATATGCTTCAGGATTTTTTATTTGGCAACTGAGGAGAGAATGGTGTGGAGAAGGGAGAGACTAGAGGTTGGGAAACTAATAAGAAAGCTAATCTAAGAGTCAAAGTAACAGGTCATGGGGTCCTGAACCAAAAGGATGAGCATGAGAGTAGAAAGGAGCAGATGGGTGCAGGAAATGTGGAGGTAGACATGATATGTCAAGAGATTAGATAGGAGGTTGAGGGAGATTGAGAAATTGAGAATTATTCTGAGGGAGATCATGAATTTATGTGACTGTAATGATAGTAGTATCCTAGACAGAAATAGAGAAGCGCCAAGAGGACTAGGTTTGGGCTAGGAGGATAATAATCTCTGTTTTGGATATATTGAAACTGAAATATCTATGGATCATCCATATGAAGATTTCTAGCAGCCATGGAGGTAGAAATGAGCTTGGAGAAGATTAGCAAGGAATGTGAAGAAGACTGTGAGGAGGCAATCTTGACTAGAGCTAAGATAAGTATCAATTTGTAAAACATAAATGATTCTCTGTGGATTAAACAGATCATGATTAGAAGCATTGTGGGTTACATGGATTGTGGTTGAAATTAAGAACAAGAAATAGAAATATGCTCACTAGATCAAGAATGCTGTAGGGCTAGCAACCAACTCCATTTTGGCTAATCTTTTACACATCCTGTTTACCTAAGCTATGTACCCCTGTATATTCTTCACGCTTCAACCCACTCCCTTTGTAAGCAGTCTTAGTAAAATACATAAATAGTTTAAGAACAAAGCCCCTTCATCTTACACTCTATACCAAGATAAAGTCAAAATGAGTGCATGATTTAGATACAAAGACTGATACTATAAGCAAACTAGGAAAGCAAGGAATAGTTTACCTGTCATATTTATGGAAAACAGAAGAATTTATGATCAAACAAGAGATAGAGAACATTATGAAATGCAAAATGGATAATTTTGATTACATTAAATTGAAAAGTTTTTGAACAAACAAAGCTAATGCAACCAAGATTAGGAGGGAAACAGAAAACTGAGAAAGAATTTTTACAACCAGTGTCTTTGATAAAGGCCTCATTTCTAAAATATATAGAGAACTGAGTCAAATTCATAAAAATACAAGTCATTCCCCAATTGATAAATGGTCAAAGGATATGAACAGGCAGTTTTCAGAGGAAGAAATTAAATCTATCTATAGATATATGAAAAAATGCTCTAAATCACTATTGATCAGAGAAATGCAAATGAAAATGACTCTGAGGTACCTTATCACACCTATCAGATTGGCTAACATGACAGAACAGGACAATGATAAAGTTTGAGAAGATGTGGGAAACATCAATGCATTGTTGGTGGAGTTGTGAACTGATCCAACCATTTTGGAGAGCAATTTGAAACTATGACCAAAGGTCTATAAAATTGTACATACCCTTTGACTTAGCAATAGCACTCCTAGGTTTGTATCCCAAAGAGATCATAAAAATGGCAAAAGGACCCACATGTACAAAAATATTTATAACAGCTCTTTCTGTGGTGGCACAGAATTGGAAATTGAAGAGATGTCTACAATTGGAGAACGGTTGAACAAGCTGTAGTATAGAAATGCAATGGAATACTATTGCGCCATAAGAAATGATGAGCAGGGGGCAAGTAGGTGGCACAGTGGATAGAGTTCTAGCCTTGGAGTCAGGAGGACTTGAGTTCAAATCCGGCCTCAGACACTTGAAACTTACTACCTGTGTGACCATGGGCAAGTCACCTAACCCCGACTGCCTCACCAAAAAGCAAAAACAAAACGAAAAGAAAGAAAAAAGAAATAATGAGCAGATGGACTTCAGAAAAATCTGGAAAGACTTATATGAACAGATGCTGAGTGAAATGAGCAGAACCAGGAGAATATTACACACAGAAATAGCCACATTGTGCAATGACTGACTTTGATAGACTTGGCTCTTCTCAGCAACGTAAGGATCTTCCCCTAGTTGAGACATCTTTTTCCTGAGTAGAGTGGTAATGATCCATATGATTTAAGTCCTGATTTTTGCTCATCCCAATTGTCATATGTGATAGAAAAAATTTCTTGGCATGACTTACCCCCTCATGGAGTGAATTTTCTTAGGGACAAATAGACGAATGATCCCTGTGCGAATCTGCTTGGTCTTCACACTATAGATTATGGGGTTGAGCACAGGAGGCACCAGCAAGTAGATGTGAGCCATGAAGATGTGGATGAGGGGAGAGGCATGCTTTGCAAAACGGTGGACAAGAGATAGACCAATCATGGGCACATAGAGGATGAGGACAGCACAGATGTGGGAGGCACATGTGTTGAGAGCCTTGAGCCTTTCCTTCCGGGATGCAATACTTAGCACAGAACGGAGAATGAAGATATAAGAAACTAGAATACCTAGGGAGTCCAATCCCCATAGAATAGTGATCAAAACTAATCCATAAATTACATTAAACTTAATGTCAGCACAAGCCAAGCGAATCATGTCCTGATGTAGGCAGTAGGAATGAGACAGGACATGGGAACGGCAGAAGGGGAAGTATGCAAGGCGGATCATTAATGGAGTGATACAGAGGGAGCTCCTGAGAATAGCTGCTACTCCAATCTTGGCAATGCGCTGTGGGGTGAGGATGGTGGAATACCTCAAGGGATAACAGATTGCCACATAGCGGTCAAAGGCCATTGCTAGAAGCACTGCTGATTCTGTGAAGGAGAAAGTATGGATGAAGAACATCTGTATCACACAGGTGTTAAATTCAATCTCCCTGGAGATGGACCACAACAGTCGAAACAAAGATACAACAGTGGGAAGGGACATGCCCATATCAGTGAGAGACAACATGGCTAAGAAATAGTACATGGGTTCGTGGAGACTTGGGTCAGTCCAGACTATATAAAGGATGGTACAGTTTCCCACTATCCCAATCAGGTAAAGGATGCAGAAAGGGATGGAGATCCAGTGGTGTATTGCCTCATAGCCAGGAATTCCAGTGAGGTAGAAGGTGGTAGATAGGGCAATACTGGCATTGAAGTCCGCCATGGAGCTTCTGCACAGAGCCACAATCCCATCTCACACCCACTCACTCCTAGAAGGAAATGAAAGACACAAAAAGGTTGTAAAAATGCTTTAATATGTATTTTTACTATAATTCTGTGTCCTTCTTAACCATTTTTGCATTTACCCCATATGTTTTCTTTGTCTATATTTACTCCCTGCTTTTCTGATTTTTTTGCAGTTACTGAATTTTCTAAATGATCCATTTTATTCCTAAATATCATAAGCCTCCTGTTCTTATTACAAATACCTTTAAAACACAAAGAGCTGTTTAAAAAATTTGCTGGATTGTTTGAACCTAGCCTTGTGTGGCTGAGAAACCAGATCTGTTGTTTAGAGACTAGATTTGTTTAAAGCTTCACTCAAGAGGTCTAGGTTATATTGATCCCCAAAGTCTTGCAGGGACATCAAGATTAATATAAAGGATAAGGGAAATAAATATGCTATATATCTCAAGCAACTCACATGCTTTATCTGGAAATTACCTTTGTATTGGCCAATCACTGTTGTTACCTTGGTCTTTTATTTGAATCCTATATAACATATAACTTACAGGTAACTTGGAGCAGGCCACCCCTTTTTTGGCTATGTGGATCACCTATCTACCAGACAACTTCATAAATTTCTTTCTAAACCTTTTCAGTTCTAATTTTATTCTGTGCCTCAATAATTAATGTTAAAAGCAGGGTCTCTGATGGTCAACCCAAGGGCCAGGGTGGACCTAGATGGGATCAATCTATATGAGGAGAACCAGGTGAGTAATCTTACAGTTTAAATGGAACACTATCTTTGCTCCTTTGTTTGAACTCTACACAGTGATTATGTGACACCTTGACCTTACTCAAGGTAAAGTAGAAGGAGCTTAACCACCCTGAATGGCAAATTAGTAGCCATTTTGAGACTGATCACTCAAAAGTTCTTGGATTAAATTTGGCGATTAGCTCTCTCTCTCTCTCTCTCTCTCTCTCTCTCTCTCTCTCTCTCTCTCTCTCTCTCTCTCTCTCTCTGTCTATCTATCTCTTCCTGTAGTCTGCAGTCTTCAAATCTGTAGTGTCTTCCTGTACTCTCTCAACCTCTTATTGCTATTAGAAATAAACCATATGCTTGTGTCTGTTACATATACTGGCAGCAGCCAGCCTGATCTCCTGCTGAGTATGGTTCTATGATCCAATACGCAAACCCAAGAGCTGCCAGATGAACCGCGTGACCTGCCATGAGGGAAACCTTTTTTCAGACATTTGTGTTGTGGGTTATCTTGTACTGGTACCATTTAGTTGATTGAGTGACCATGACTAACTGATCACCTAACATCAGTCCTCTACCCCTTCACCTAGGACAACCTCAGGTTAAAGAGGGAAACTAGAAAGTGAATTATTCAAATAATTATCCAGGGTAAATCATTTATGGACTGAACACTCATACCCCAGGAGTACAAAACTCCTATTTTTTTTTCCATTCTATCCTCTCTATAAGCTTCACAGGAAAACCTTTGTTGTATGTGGTTATCTAGTGTTATTTGTATACTCTGCTACCTTGAAAGATTTCTAAGGGGAAAATGCAAGCAGCCAAAAAGGCTACTATTAAAAACAAAACAAAAAAAAAATGTTGCATCCAGAGAGTTTAGAATGGTGGGGAAACCTAATGAAGTTTCAAACTTGAAACAATTCTTTCATCTTCCTGTAATCTGATGCTAAACTCTCCTTCTCAGTGAGCAGAGACTTACTTCCACTTCAGACTTTCTGTGGGAGATAAGGTTTTAAGTAGGAAAGAAAAAAAAACTGCAAGATACAGTTATATACTGTTATTTCACCCCTGGCTAGGTTGGGGTTATAAAGAAAAACTCAGACAAGGGAAGATTTCCCTTCTTTCCAGGAAATATTTTTTTTCCTAATATGTATTATAATTAGACTCCATTTGTAACTGAAATGTAATTCCTTGGCTACAAATTTCTAAATCATGTTTTGAAGACTTTTTACAAATGCTTAAATATTCTAAGAAGGAATTAAGAATGTGAGACTACCACCATAAAAATTTGAAATGGAGCTTACTGAAAGCAATAGGCTCTACAATTTGAGGTGCGGGCAGCTAATAATCATTGGGACAACTGACATTTTGAATGATACCATTTGTGATTGTAAATCCAGATTTAATTATTTTCCAAAACCAAACTATAATGTGGTCTTATTTAAAGTAATATGTGTTCTTCCATAATTGTGATGTTTGACCCTTTATAGGTAGATCAGACCTTTATACAAGATACACTTGATATTCAGAAACAAGGCAACATACTTAGAAACTGCATGAATAAGAATTAAAAAAGTAATTACTCTCTACTGATTTTAAATACAATTAGTATAAATGCCAAATGATAGATGGATGAAATGATTTTTTGTGTGAAATGATTTGCAAATGCATTCATCCAAATTGATGTTATTTGACTGGAAATAAGTTTTGCGTTTAAAAATCTACAATATTGTTTATATTACTGTCAGGCTTCTAATTTTTCTTGTATTGTGATTTTTGGAAAATCCTATAGGAAATACCACTAATTTAAAAATAATACCCAGAGGGTGACATAATTGTATCACTGGAAATTTAACTCCTCCTTGGATAAATAGTGTTGTCATTCTGGTTTAAAAAAATCAAGTATTTAATTGGGTATATCTTGCTTTAAAATGAATAATAATAATTGTGTACTATTTGGGCTAGTACTAAAGGCTTTGTAAATATCTGTGAAGTTCTTGGGTATTTGCCAGATTTTCAGGTCCCTGGATCTTCAGGCTTAATAAGGTCATAAAATCTTAATAACTCTGTGAGAGAAGTCACTTTAAAGACTTAAAGAATGTTGTGAAGTTCTAAATTAATGAAGTGGTTGAATGAAAAACAAGGACCTCCCATACCTGAAGTAAGGGGGCTTACAGATGTATTTTATAAAGAATGATTTTTATCTGAGAAATTGTTTGTCCATTACTTATGAAAATCTTGAAGTACACTTCAACTAGCATGTATTGAAATTACATCTTTGAGTCAACTTATTATCAACAGACACCAGATTTAAAGATTTTATTTTTGCCTTAGGGGATATATGATATTATGATTCTGCTTAACTAAGTTTGCTTGACCTTTATGACATTGAAAGTAGCATTGTGAATCTGGCTTTTTTTTTAACTTTTTGTGATACTTGTAGCCATGTGTTCTTTCAATGACTGAGAAAATCTCCTTGTATTGGGTTGTACATTTGTTTCATGGTGCAAGTCTAAGTCCCCTGATTTATGTTACCCAATTCGATGCTTACCCAATTTGATCCCTCTGACTATGACACACTGGGAAAACATCCCTCCATAAAAGAATTATATCAAGTTCTTGATAGGAAGACAATTTGACAATGAAGAAGATACCTCCACTGATTTTGGTTATTTTAAACCTTAAAATAGGTTTCTGCTTTTGTAATTATACTCCTACTATTATGGAAAAACTTTACTGCAGTATTTGAATTCAGCCCTGTGTGGCTGAGAAACCAGACCACTTGCTTAGAGAATAGATTTACTTGATGCTTAACTCAAGAGGTCTAGGTTAAGTTGAACCTCAAAACCTTCTAGGAAGTGATGAAAAATAGGCCACAGCATTTTTGGCTCTCCCCTCTGCCAGGCAACTTAGTAGACTTCTTTCCAAATTATTTCAGCTTTGGGTTTTACTCTCTGTTATAATAGGGCAAAATGGAGTAGGGGGAATTGTGCTGAATCTAGAGTCTGAGGATATGAACTTGAATTAATACTCTGCTATTTACTAATTTTGTGAACTAGGGTGATTCATTTAATACCTTCAATTGTCAGTGCTCTTGACTATATAATGAACCCACTTTTCCTAACTTTTGTCAAGGATACTATCATTCTTTCAGTGTCCCAAACTATCAACATTGCAGATATTCCATCTTTTCACTCTGCCTCAGTTCTCATATTTGATCAGTTGCCAAGTCTTGTTGGTTTCATGTTTATAATTATTATCTCTTTTTGTCCTAAAAACCCTGAGAGCTAAGTGCTATTATTTTCTCCATTTTCTAGATGAAGAAACTGAAGCAAACAGAGGTTAAATGACTTGCTTAGGTTTACACAGCTATTGAACGTCTACGTCTGGATTTGAAATCAGGTCTTCCTGACTCTAGGTCCAGTGCTATCCACTGAGCCACCTAGTTTATCATTTTTTTTAAAGCTGTTTGTTTTTTCCCTTTGATCTCTTGTTGTTATTCAGTTGTTTCAGATTCTTGGTGACCCATTTTGGCGTTTTCTTTACAATGATGCTAGAGTGGTTTTCATTGCCTTCTCCAGCTCATTTTACAGATGAGGAGCTGAGGCAAACAGGGTTAAGTAACTTAACTAGAGTCACACAGCTACAAAGAGTCTGAGGCTGGATTTAAACTCATGAAGATGAGTCTTCTTGATTCCAAGCCCAGCGCTCTATTCACAGCACCACCTAGGACACCTTATAATCACTTTTCTATGGGGAAATGGCTCTTAAGATGAAAGACTTTTACCGTGACTTTATAGATTTCCTCTATTACCTTTGTTCATGCAGGCACAGATTCACTTATAATTTGTTCAGGATTACATCTCTGCTTCCTTAAATATTTCTGGGATAACCCCCTTCCCTTATGTGGTCTTTTCTTCTCTACTACTGATTATACAGAGACAGTAGGAAAAAAGTATCCTACCTAGTGTATCTTCAATTCTAAAAGGGTTTAGGAGACAGTGTGATACTGTGGAAAGCCAGATGGTTTGGGAATCAGAGGAATTGGGTTCAAATTTCAGCTCTACTCATTACTGTGACAATAGGAATTTACCTAGCTCCTTAGATCTCTGTTCTTCATCAATAAAATGATAAGATAGTCAATCAATTAACATTTATTAGGTATCTACCATGTGCAAGGCACTTTGCTAAGCTGTGGGGACACAAAGAAATGCAAAAGACAGTCCCTGATCTCAAGGAGC